TCGATTCTGTTTTGAAATTACAGCGTTTTCACCGCCTGTATTTTGTAATCCTAAATTATTATTTGTCCCAACCAAAATTAAACAAATATATGGTTTAAGAATTTTCTATATAATTTTTAAAAAAATTCATATTATTATTCATATCTAGAATAACCTACGGTTTACAGACATACACCACTTCTTTTTTTTTTCAAAATGGTAGATACTTCATTCAACAAAGCAAAAAATACAAGTCGGGGGCTGAATAGCCCCCATAAGTTAAGAACCAATACAAGAGGCCATCCACATGATGCCTAGACTCCCAACTCCACACCAAACATAAATAAGAAGTAAACTAGAGGCAGAAGCATCTGAGCCCTCTAACTACTAACAATCAAACGAAAATACGACCCAACAATAAATCAGCTAGCAATACAAATATGAGCATAAAGAATGAAAACAACAGCACCACTGAATCTAAAGCTAACAACTTCAGGACCTAGCACTATAATCTTCATCTTTAAACTTCCTAAGACCTCCTACTGGCAGCAAACTCCAGCCAGTCTGAATGAGTAGAAGAGAACCACATTGTCAGGCATCCACACACTTTGGAATTTCCAGTGATTTCTAGATTTCCAGAGCCACCACAAGATGTAAGTGGTTAGCTTTATTCTTGCTTCAGAAACAGTTTGCCTATCCAGAGCACACACATTCCACCACCACTGCTTGAAAGAACCTGTTGAGGGAATAGATTTCCAGCAAACAGGAGCCAATTTCCAGATCCTCTGTGCCATGCTGCAATGCAAAAGCATATGCTCCACTGTTTCCAACCCTTCTCCACATCCATGGCACCAAGGGCAATGTCCAAACCTCTTCTCTTCAAGTTAAGACTTACAGACAAGGAATAATTGTAGCACTTCCAAACAAAGTGCTTAAGTTTGGGTTTGACTTTAAGGCACCAACTTCTATTCCTCACTCATTTTTCAAATTTTGCAGATGAGCTGCATTCAACAATATCTAAAGCAGAGAGTTTGCAAGCCACCAAATTTGAGTAAGAGTTTGCCACTGAAAACTTACCTTTACTGTCCAAAGCCCATTTCCATTTGTCATTCAAAGTAGGATCCAGGTAGAGATCTCCAAAATAGCATGAGCATCAGTTAGAGTAAAGCAATCAAAGATGAGCTCTTGATTTCAAGTTCTCCCATCATCTAAGATCAAGTCTGCAACCCAGACTACTCTACTCATTCCCTGATCAGTTCTCTGAGGGATCCCTGTGATGGAACCAGGTATTCATGGGTCCTGCCAAACCAAGGTGTGCCTGCCTGTCCTGACTTCCACTCTGAAATTATGTTTAAATTTATCTCTAACTCCCAGTCAGCTATACCATAGCCAAGAAGAGTTGTATGTTTTTTTTGTTTGAAGAACATATCAGTCATTGAAGTATTTTTATTTAAGAACTTTGGTGACTAAAAGATTAGGATGAGTCACTAACCTCCAAATTTGTTTGAGGATTAAGGCTTCATTGAATAAACTGACATCTTTGAAGCCAAGTCCTCCAACATCTTTAGGAAGTGTCATGATCTTCCATTGCTTCTAGTGCACTCCAGGCTGCTGATCATCTTTACTCCACCAAAAGCTAGCTGAAAGTCGGGAGATATCTTTGCAAATGCCCTTTGGAAGACAGAAGCAAGACATTGTAAAGACAGGGAGAGCACCAATAACAGATTTGAGGAAAACATCCTTGCCAGCAGAGGAAAGGAACTGGTTCTTCCAACTGACAAGTCTTGATCTTACAGCATTGAGCACAAATTCAAAGGAGTCTTTCTTAGACCTGCTGATACCAAGAGGCAGCCCTAGGTGTCTTATTGATCTATGGACTTGAATTCCACTGAGAATCTGACACATAGAACTCTGTTGAGCATTCAAAGAATTCCTACTGAAAAAAATGGAGGACTTCCCAAGATTCACCTTTTGCCATGAAAACATCTGGTATTTACACAGAACTTGCAGCAGAGTATGAGCATGAAGATCATCAGCTTTACACATGACTAAGGTGTCATCAGCAAACATCAGGTGGGTAATCACATGGTTATGTTTAGCAATTTTTAATCCCTGAAATCTACCATTACCAGCTTCATTCAAAATAAGTCTAGAGAACACTTCAGAAATCAAAATGAATATGTATGGGGAAAGGGGATCCCCTTGCCTGATCCCTCTAGAGGCATAAATGTACCCACTCATCTCCCCACTTAAGTTAAAAGAGAAAGAAGGAGTAGAAATGCAAGCCCAGACAGATTTGGCAAACAAGGAGTGAAACCCCATTTTCAAGAGGACCCCTCTCACCTCCTCTCACTCAACCCTATCAAAAGCCTTCTCCATATCTAACTTCACTAGCATAAAACCTTTATTCCCATTCTTATGCCTATTAAGAAAATGAACAGCTTCATGAGCCAAAATGACATTGTCAAGGAGCTGCCTTCCAGGAATGAAGGCAGTCTGATTAGCACTCACACAACTATCAAGGCAAGGCTTAAGTCTAAAAGTTAGAATTTTGGAAATGACCTTATAAGCAACACCAAAAAGCTGATGGGCCTATAGTGTTTTAGAGTAGAGGGATTAAGACATTTAGGGATTACGGAAATGAAAGTGTGATTCCAGTTGGTGAGAAGTTGGCCAGATTCAAAAAAACTATAGATAGCATAACAGAAATCACATTTAATGATTGACCAAAATTTTTGAAAGAAGAGAGGGCTCATACGATCTTGTCCAGGTGCTTTCCCAGGTTCTAATCT